TGTTTGGACGCCAAAGACGCATTGCATCAGAGCAACAAAAATGCATGTCAGGCGTTAAGCATCCGTTTACGTGGTTGCTGCGGACTTGTAACGAGGTTGTAAATCATCACTAATGATTACCTATCCAGCATGTGCAGTGAGAGGAAAGCTAACCTGGCAAACGCACTTGGTAGCTATTCTAGAAACACTTCAAAACTCTGTGTACACAAATGGTTCTTTCACACGTCTTAACAGATGTTAGTCATTTTCTCTTCATCTGCATTTAATATTCTGCTACATATTTCTTCTGTGCTCACAAAGTGCAGCAGTCATTCCAGAAACCCGGCTTTGCTTGTTCAGATTAATACCTTTGGTTCTTTTGTAAATAGGCAGATGTACATTGGCACTCATTCAAAGTATCTGTTTTCCGATCGCTAATTTTAAATGACTTATTAATTTTAAATGACTTATTTTCACTGAGATACACTCTGTACATTGGTGCAATTCCACTGCTCTAGCAGAGAGTATTTTAATTCATTGATCTGCTAAAATAAAAGGCACCTAATCCTTTCTGCACCATAGCGAATGCTTTTAAATATTTCAGAATGTTAGCAAAGGCTTGGCTCGGGGGGTGGGTATTAGCAAATAGGGCACAGATGTTCAGTGGAAAGATGAAGGGTGCCCTATTTGCTATATTGGAGGTTCAAACCTGAACCAGGAGGATAGTAAAAAGTATCTACTGCAGGCAATGTAGTTCAATCCTGGATTAAATGATAATTCACCAGTAAAATCCATCATTTTCACAGATATTACCTACCCAGACATTTCATTGGCTTGGCTTAGTATGTGTCCTTCTCGCTAAGGGTACATTTGCCCAGCAGCCGGGAGCCGTACTTCCCAGTCTGGGTAGCATACACACGCTAGCCCTGCTTGAGCGAGCATGCTACAAATAGCAATGTGTCCACAGTCGGCACAGGCAGTGGTCAGGATAGCAGCCCAGGTAGGTTCCTGTCCAATCCCCCGGCTACAGACTGAGGTGGCTGGCCCAAGCTGCCACCTGTGTCACTGTCCCCACACTGCTATTTTTAAGGGCTAGCTTGAGCAGGACTAACGCATTTCCAGCCACTATCTAGATGTTCCCATAGAGCCTGATCCAAATCCCAGTGAAGTCAAATTAAAGACTTCCAGTGATGTCAGTGGGCCCTAACCAAAGCAACGGATGGCCCTTAAACAGAATCACAGTTTAAATGGTTTTGACTCATAAGCATCCACTTAAGTAGCTCTGAAGGTGAATAATTTAACTCAGAGAAGATGGGTTTCATGAAATAATAGATTGCTTCACTTTTTAAAGAAGAGCCAGAAGACCCCCTTCTTTCTACTCTACTTCTGCAGCTTGCTTCCTGGAACGGACAGAAGTCCAGCATCAACCATGCTGCTGCCAGGTGAAGTTGCTGTGGTTCTGGAGATCTCTGTACGCTGTAAGAGACCTACTGAAGCAAAAATGATGTCATCAATTGTCCACCGCCACTGAAGGAGCCATCAGGCAGAAGTGAAAGACTCCTACATCACCCACTGTGTATTAAATACACCCAAGACAATATCACAAAAGAGTTCTTAGTCAGTATCAACCTAAATGGCTTTTATTTTATTAGATATTTATTGCATGATTTGAATACACATATCCTTAGAAAGATATTGCAGGTATTTAAAACACAATCTGGGAGACTGTTCAAGCATTCATCTTTTCTGCTCCAAGCTTATCTTTATGTGTAGAGAACACAAAGTCACAGAAGTGAATGTATCCTTCAGTTTTGCCTCTGCGAGCGAGGAAATATTGAAATTTAAGTAAATTAAGCATGCGGATAATATTTGTAGTGTTGTTTCCTGATCATTTTTATCTACCTCTTTCCTTTAGTTTTGGAGTTTAGATTTTTTTTTTAATCCCTTTCATTGTAGACAAAATGTCGGTGCCCTCTGTGTACTTCAATCATAAATTAAACTAAAGATTGGGCAGATCATTGCAGAAGGGAATCCTGAATTAAGGACTCAAATCTGACTTCTACTGGAATGAACTGACGTTTTGCCATATTTTCTCCATACTAGGAGCAGAAGTGGACTCCAAGAGATAAAATGTATTAACTTTTCATAAACCAAATAATACCACTCACAGATGGAATAATATTTTGGGTATTTTCTGTCTTTATTTTTAAGATACCAAGAGGCAGATGCACTATTCTAGCCCAAGAGGTAAGTCCCTGAAACATGTTGGTTTTAAAATATCAACTACATTTGATCTGATGTGACCAGATACTGGTCTGAAACTAGAATTCAATAAATGTTTCATTCACCTCTAATTTGAAAACAGCCAAATAGCCTTTTTTTTTCTTTACACGTTATAAAAATAAATGCCCGTTGAGCAGAGACCTGGTCTTTCAAGTTTGAAGCTGAAGGGAATACCAAGAAATGCAGATTTATAATGGAAAAAATTACAAGACTTTTTCTGGGATGTTGCTAAAGGCAACAATATAACAAACTGAGTGCATGTAACATTTTAATTTAACAGATTCAGAACAGCGGAGAGTTGGCGGTACAGTCCCAGCTCAGATCTGACATGCACAAATCCCCACATTTTGGGGATTTTACCCAGGCCTGGGGCATCTGATGGCAGAAAGAACTGTTGCTGCTCAAAACTTCTGGTTACATATTTAAACAACTACCTATGGCCAGCAGTTCTGAGAATTAGCCCAAGACTTTTCAGGTTGGGCACCCCAGAGCTGAGGCACCCAAAATCATGGGCTCCTGTTAACAGTTTTGGTCTTTGTTTTTCCAACTCTGGCCCAGATTCTTAAAGATACGTAGATGCCTAACACTTAAGGGAGTTAGGCGCCTAACTACCTTTGAGGATCTGGGCTTCTGGCAGAAGTCCTGCTTCATCCCCCTGCAACTCCTTAGTTGTTTTGTTAAAATGTTGTAAATGCAGTCAAAATTAAAGCTGTGGGCTGGGAAAATTTCTGACCTGCCAATGGTCATGCTAAGCAACTTAGCCTCTAACTTCTCAGCTGTTCAAGTAGCTTAGATTGTTAAAGGGATCCTCTCAGTCACGTCACATTTTTAAATCTGTAAACTCAATGGGGGTGTTATTATATTAAAGTGCTCAAAACATGTTCTGTGTTTGTACAGTGCCTACAGCAATAGAGTCCTTGTCCAGGATTGGGGGTCCTACCTGCTAACACAATACAAATACAAATAATAATAATCACAACACTCAATAGGAACCAAATATTACTTTGTGGCTTTGGGAGTCAAAACTCAAGGGAGATTATTCATAGACATTTAGGACCCACTCAATTAGATTCAATAGGAGCTGAGAATGTCAAAATAGGAAGTCCTCATCAACTTACATATTCCTGCAAAGAAAAAATGAGGACTGTGGAAAAACGCAATAGATTGCAATAAAAGATGTACATAGGTCATAGATTTCTCCCAAGAGTGTGGCAATAGCTTAAAATCGTTTAGGTGGGTGTGCCTGTGTATATAACCACTAACATTTTTAGGTGTGAAGCATACATCAGCATGTTTTCAGGAGGACACCTGCTTGATTAACAGGCCTCCGGGCTTCTAGGAGTATTGAAAAACCTGTTTTAAAGGGTAGTATACTAGTAGACAGAACCTGCTTCTGTTCACAGTTCTTTCTATTGCTTATTATCCCAGTGCTGTATGAAAATCAAGCGTCTTCTGTACATTTCTAGCTAGATTTGAGTTGTGCTCTTTTTACTGAATGTTCCTTCATACATAGATAAGCATGTGGTGCACATGATCATTTCATATAAAATATCTTGTGTTCTAATGTATTCCAGCCTGTAGCCACACATTTTAGCAATCCCACTATTATTCTGACTGCAGAAGAAAATGATGAAGAGTCTCATTAAATGCCCTTTTTGCAGGACCAATATTTTGAGCTATGGTACAGACTGCAGGGGCAAAAATAAGACCAGATTCTAAGAACCAAACTACAAACAGAATCCATTTAAGTCACACTCAAGTCTATGTGCCGGTACTATGTCACAAGGCACAAAAGTAAACAGCAACAGATCAGTACAAATGAAATAACATTTCCTTTAGGATCCTGTTTATTACATTAAGCTTACAAGTCACTCAAAGTCAATTGCCCTGTACTGAAAGGAATAAAAGTAAAGTAATTAATCAAAAGCAGCTACAAAGGATCAGGAGTCGTCATTCATAAATTCAGATCAGGTAAAAAGGCACAATCCTGCTGAATTTAAGAGAAAGTACATCTGTTCATACTAGGTTAGACTTTCAGCCATGACTCAACCACACACTCATAGCAAGCAAAATAAAAAAGAATTTGCATGCCCATGGAAATCAGATCCCAGCCTGCGCCTTGAAAAACTACCCCAGGCTTCACGCCTGGTTCAGGTGCCACCCAATATTTATAATTTCCACAGAAAAGTAACTAAATCATGAGCTTGAACTTCAACGCACTGGTGAGATCTCAAATTCTCTTTTGAAACTGAAAGATTCTAATGATCACTATTCTCTTATAGCCGTATATTACATAAACAGGAGAGGCTATGTGCGGTGGATTCAGTGAACGGGGTGCTGGACTGAGGCTCAGGAGACCTGAATTTGACTCCCAGCTCTACCCTGACCTTGGCTATGTGAATTTGAGCAAGTCACTTTGCCTCTCTGTGCTTCTTTTTCTGCTCCCGCCCTTTGTATTGTCTATTTACATTGTAAGCACCTCAGGGCAGGGACTGTCTCTCACTATTAGAGCTGGCAAGGAATTTTTTTGACAGAACATGCTGATTTGTGAAAACCAAAACTTTTTCACGGGAAAGAGTCGGTTTCAACAAAGTTTTGGTTGAGAAGGTTTCTCAGGTCCCGGATGAACTTTCTGGTCAAAACCAGACAGGGAATGGAAGAGTGACCCTGGAATTTGAGAGAAAGTACATCTGTTTATACTAGGTTAGACTTTGAGCCATGACTCAACCACACACTCATAGCAAGCAAGATAAAAAGAATTTGCATGCCCATGGAAATCAGATCCCAGACTTGGAATACCCAAGTGCTTCGAGTTCCTTTGCTAAATCAGGCAAATCAGAAATTTGAACGCAGGTCTCCTACGTCCCAGGTGAGTGCCCTAAGCTCTTGGCTAGTCTAGGGGGCTTGTGACTGGGTGCTAAGCAGAAAACTGCTTAGCCAACCCTCTCTCACTCCAGCTCCAATGAAAGGAGGTGAATTGGAGCTGGGTAGACCACCTGGCCCTGATTGGGGAAGCTTGAACAGCTGCTGCCTCATCAGGCTGGGGCTGGATAAGAGCCCCAGGGGAAGGAAGCCAGGGAGAAGCTGGAAAGTGGAAAGCTGTAATAGAGGAAAGGCAGTGAGGGGAAGCAGAAAGAGATCGCTTGCCCCCTCTCTCCTGCCGGCGGCCTGCAAAAAGGGGACTACGTATGTGGTAGAAAGGTGGTGGGAGCACAACCTGTAAATAAAAGCACCAGGTGGGCACTGCACCTAAAGGTCTCTGTGTGAGTTTCTCAACCCAGCAGGGGCAGGAGCTAGGAGGGCCCTGCAGGGATGCTGCTACACGGTTCTTGCTCCTTTTCTCTCTTTTTTTTTTTCAAAAAAAAAATTAGAAAATTCTCCATTTCATCCTGATGCAGAATGGGAAAATCTTTTGAAATCCTGAAAAATGTTGTAGGGCAAGAATACCATTCTCTTCCCCCTCCCCCCCCCATCTCTACTCGCTGTGTGTTTGTGCAGTGCTGAGCACAATGGGAGCCCAAGTTTGGTTTGGGCTTCAAAGCACTGTTGGAATACAAATACAATTATGAACCAGACTCGACCACTCCGACTCATGTTGAGCAGCCCCTTGCTCGGCTACGGACTCCCTGTGTGACCTTGAACAAAGGCCAAAATCATTTCCAAACTTCGCTGCCTAAAGTTAGGCACCGACATAAATGGCCTCATTTTCGGAGGTTCTGATCAAGAGCGTTTTCCATCTACAGAGGACCCACCCCAGGTTAAATGGAAACCCATATCATAGAACAGGGGTCGGCAACGTTCGGTACGCGGCTCGCCAGGGTAAGCACCCTAGTAGGCCGGGCCAGTTTATTTACCTGCTGATGTGGCAGGTTCAGCCGATCGCGGTTCCCACTTGCCGCGGTTCGCCGTCCCGGGCCAATGGGGGCGGCGGGAAGCGGCGCAGGCCGAGGGATGTGCTGGCCGCGGCTTCCCGCCGCCCCCATTGGCCCGGGACGGCGAACCGCGGCAAGTGGGAACCGCGATCGGCTGAACCTGCCACATCAGCAGGTAAATAAACTGGCCCGGCCCACTAGGGTGCTTACCCTGGTGAGCCGCATACCGAACGTTCCCGACCCCTTCTCCATGATATG